ATGTCCCAAATGCTAAAAACACGGAAATCCCCTTGTGAGTTTTGATGTTTTCATGGGATGATTCCTTCAAAGTGATTGTATCACAGAATTTGACTTAAGATACAGCATATAAAAAATCACCAGAGGGATTCCTGTCGTCAGAACCCACCAGGAGTGGGGGCATCTGTCAGCTTCATGAACTTGGCACTGGAAGGCGAGGTAACTTTTTCATAAACACAGAAAGAGATACAGGTGGATGAAATCCGGGGAAGCAGCAGGCATCTGCCACGGGCCTAGGCTGGCCGTGCTGACGGGACAAATGGAAGGGAACAGTGGGCAATACACTTGGAAAAACAGAGGGAAGGGTGCAGAGACCCTTCAAGGTCAGACTAAGAAACGGGGCCCTGTGGGTATGGGGCTTAAATTCTATTGTTTCTCAAGTAATTTTACAACTCCCATACTTTTTAAAACCCAAGTTGCATCTTTGGTTATGTAGCTTTCCAATTAGATTCAACTGTGCTGCCTCTGTGAGTTGAGGGCTATGGAAAGGAAGACTAAAGAGACTAAAATGAGGAGTGACAGGGAGAAAAAGCAACATCCTAATAATAGCTAAACTTCCTTTTTCTCAAAATGCGGTATCTCTATGTTAAGTACTTTCCATGACTTATTTAATTTTCACAAGCATGAATCATGGGAGAATGTGCTGGATCCTGCTCCTATCCCCATTTTACAGATGAGGAAACTGAGGCTCAGAGAGGTTAAGTCACTTGCATATTGTCACACAGCCAGTAGGCGACAGGCAGAGTTGAAACCTGGGCTCCCTGGCTGCAATGCTTCCGTTTGGCCTGACGGCTTTATCAAGATCTCGGTTCTCTCGACCCAATCCTAAATGGCAGTCGCCGTTCCCTGGGACAGGAAGCCTGTGCGCTGAGCACGCAGGCACTTTGTGGTTGTGGTTTTGGACAGACGGAGGCTGAGCCGCCCCTGAGCGCTCAGATGGAGATGTAGGTCGGGCGGCGTGCGGAAGAGGCGCGGAGAGTTCAGCCTGGACTGCGGGGGGAGCGAGGCTGCGGGCACCGTCTAGGCCTGGGCAGCAGGCGCCTGTGGCCAAGGCCTCGGGCCCAGGGGCGCTTTCCAAGGCAGTAAGGCGGCGAGGGAAGGCGGCGGAGGGCTGGAGGGAAGGCCCAGCGCAGGGGACGAAGGGACAGCAGCCGGTGGCCGAGGCCCTGGAGCCCAGCTGGGGAGGCCAATGGGAGAGGAAGGGCCGGCGTCGGGGCGACTGGCCAGGGGCGGGGAAGGCCAGACGCGTCTCACCCGCAGCCCGGCGAGGGGCGGGAGGGGCCACGCGGCGGCAACTTTGACAAGGGCACTTTTTCAGAGGGCAAAAGCCTGGAAGGGGCATGTTCAAGACAGAAGATAAGAGGCGGCGGCAAAGCCACTGAGTTTGCTTCCCGCCTGCCGTGGGAACGCGCCCGCGGGGGACGCGAGTGCGCCTCCTGTGGGGAGCCGCGCCCCTCACCAAATGCGCCACCTCTGCGGGGCGGGGGGGTGACTTCTCTCCTAGGGGCCTGGCACAGGTGGGTGTTGGAGCAACAGTTGCAGGCTTTAACTAAACCTTGAAAAGGAAAGGAATATTCCTGTTTACACCTCACGCATAGGTGCTGGACGGCCCATTCTCCTGCCCCCAGCACAAGGACGCTTCTGGAAGTCTGGCTGACGACAGAGATTTAGTGTGTGTGTGTGTCTGTGTGTCTGTCTGTGTGTGTCTCTGTGTGCGTGTCTCTGTGTGTGTCTGTGTGTGTCTGTGTGTGTGTCCGTGTGTGTCTGTGTGTGTCTCTGTGTGCGTGTCTCTGTGTGTGTCTGTGTGTGTCTGTGTGTGTGTCCGTGTGTGTCTGTGTGTGTCTGTGTGTGTCTGTGTGTGTCTGTGCGTGTCTGTGTGTGTGTCTGTGTGTGAACCAGTAAATGTCAAATTTTCTTTGTGTGTGTGTGTGTTGTGTGTGTGATGAATCTTCAATGCGTATCTTACAGCTCTGGTTCAGTTGTTGAGAAGAGAGAAAAATTAAAAAAACACACAAATCTCACCCTTGCCAACATGCCGGTTCTTGTGAATCGGAGCTCAGTGAAACCTCCCAGGCATATAATTTATCTTTTCTTTGGCCTACATAGTAAATGCTGCATTTGTTCATGAATTCTGGCCTTGTTTTAATTCTGCTCTGCCCTGAATGTAGTTTTATGAGGCACAAAAATCAGATTGTCGTTCTGAAAACACTGAAGATTTGTGTTTCCCCCCAGGATGAAATGGCGGCATCTTCCCCCCAGTTCACGGCTCTGCGGGTTTGCGGCTGGAATTCCGAGCCAGCGAGGGGCTGGGGGCAGGGCCGCGGGGGGGGGAGCTGAAGGGCTGAGGGGGCTTGGCCTGCTCCGGGAGCCCTGAATCAATACATTGACGGGCGTCTGTGCACAACACGCTACTCCCACCAAGAAGGCCATTGATCGAGGAGTTTTACTCTCGTTACTTTCTCAGGGCTGGGCTCTCTCATTACACTTAATAGAACAATTGATTTTTTTTGTGTGTGGCTCCAGATACACAGTGGTGCAGCCAGAATCAGATGAGAAACCTTAACAATCAGCAGGCTGTTTTTTGGTGAAAGATCTTTGCAGACATATGTATTTGCATACCCCTAAGTTCACAGAGTGAAGGAAAAAAATGAATGGCTATTTCAGGACGTGCCTGCGTTTTCCATGCAGAGTACCGAGTGGTATCCGATTCCAATGATACGACTGGCAAAGAATGGATATTGGCAGGGTCACAAAACAGATGCAAATTCTGTTAGTGAACCTGAGGGTGCTAACTCACTTCGAAAGGAAGACAGATTACAATTTGGGGGACTTCTGAGAGGTTACTATAACTTCCACGCTCCCAACATAAGCCCTTATCTTCTGACTCCGATTTCATTTTGAAACCCATTCCACTCAAACTGAGGCGCTTCCCCTAAGAGTCTTCAATGAAGAAAGAAAGCCGGTTGATGAGGCACAGCTCTAAAACTTCTCTGCTCTTCTCTTAAAGTAGAAGCGTGTTGGGTCTCATGGTGAAATGCATGCGGCGAGGCTTGGTTATCAGATGCTGAACTGGTTCACGGGGATTTGGATAAGTCACTGACACCTGTCCAAAGATGGGTCTTGCCCCAGCTAACTCAGTCTTTTCCTAAGTCAGGCAATGGGTTGACATCCGACGCCCATGTGAACAAAACGTGACTGTTCAATGAATCACAAGCTCAGAATGGCCTTCGGAACCCATGGCCAATAATGAGAATTCAATCAGTTTCCCCACTCAGAGTAAAGTAGTGCATAGTTTCTCAAATATTCATGAATATTGGTGGCCAGTTTATAGCCCCGAGACAAGTCACTATCTGCTGCAGGGACATACAGTGAGGGACTGTCCCCTGGGCCAGCGAGGCTAATTCTCCCGTGTCCGGGCACCCTCTCCAACACGTGGCCTCCCACAGCACAGCACCCGCCACCTTGCATAGTATGTGTAGGGTTTGTATACCTCTTCTCTGCGGGACTGCACATTCGCTGGGGACAGGGACACTCTGTCCTATCCACCACTGTGGCCTGGCCTCCCCTGTGCCTGGCTGTGTCACACTTGGCAAAGATGTGATGCCTGGATGCGTTGAAAGACTTACTCCGAATCATACAAAAAGAAATTCAATTGGCTCCTGAACTGGTGCATTTGGGGAAGTGGGCATCTGAAGGGCAATTTTTTAAACTTTTGAAGGAAAATTTGAATATCGCATTTCTTGGACTCAAATTTTACAGGACCAGAGAGAATGCTGAGAGCAAGAACCTAAACACACAAGCCTAAAGATCTTTCCCCAATTTTAACTGTTCAGGATTTTTAGCTGGTGTTTAATATTTACAGTATAATTCTTGACACTAACCTAGATGCATTGAAACCACAGAGTAATGCGACACAATCTATGTACAGTATTTAGAACAGAGCCTGACATATAGTAAGAGCTCAATAAATGGCAGCCGGTGTTATTAGCAACTTGGCCGTGCAGTTGGCTGTTATTAAGGAAAATATATTGACAGTCATGACACATAACTATATAATAAAAGACTCAGCCTGTCTAATTTTTTCCTGGTTCTAACCTCAACCAGAGGCACTTGATTGAATCCCAAAGTTTGAAAAATACTATTATTTAAAAGTCCATTAACTGAAGAAACAAGTGCCTTAAAATACAATGGATTCATTTTTATTTCCTTCTTCATTTAAGGATCTCTTTTCTCCACCCTGAACACAAACAAATATCTTCATGGTTCAAGGCAAATGATATTTTTAAGATAGAAAGAACTTGCCTTTCTTTGTACAGGCCAAGAAAATGTCAAGAAAAAATGAATTCTGGGTGCCTCCTTAAAAAAAAAAATCTAGTTTTTACAAAGGTATTCCCCCAGGCTGTTGGAAAATAATTAGTACATAAGAGAGTCCATCCAGAGCTGTAAAAGCTCTTTATTTAAACCTACCCTTTACTGCAAAAGATAGTTCCAGATCAACGCAGGCTGTTAAAAGCAAGAAACGAGATGTGTCCCAAGGAAAACCTATACATGCACCATATGCGAGACAGGCTGCGAAGACCTGGCGGGTAGTTAAGTCTCTGAGGAACCATTTTTATTCTGCGAATGCCCTTCCCCCCGGACTCCACTGATCACAGACACAACCCGTCCTGCTTCCCTTGATAAATGGAAGGACGGATCCATCTGCGTGTAACTCACCTCCTCTGGCCTCTTACATAAAACAGACGCCGCAGCTGTGGCTGTTCTGCGAACAGATGTTTCTGCCCACGACACACCGGGAGGCACGTGTCTACAATGAGCCGTTTGTTCCAGGGGGTCGAGGGCCTGACACCCAGTCAGGACCCCTGGGTGACTGCAGAGGGACCTACGTGCCATCGTCTTCCCCAGCGAGGCGCACTGAGCTTGCATCAAGAACAAAACGGCCGTCCCCTGCCAGCACTTACCCTCTCCGCTGGGGCATCGTGGGACTGCCCGGGGAATCCGGGGAGGTCGTCGGCCTGGCCTTGGGGTGCCACACTCCTGGCTTCCAGGTGGCCGACAGTGGGAGCCTTTTCCTGTCCCTTGTCCAGTTTGAAGAGTTTGTCAAAAAAGCTGGAGTCCTTAGGCTTGGAGGGGGCTGCTCCCCCTGACCCAGGTGGCGGAGGTGCGGGCCCCAAAGTGGCAGAGAAGCCCTGGTGGTCGGCGGGGGTCCGGCCGGGGGTTTTATCTGGGCCGGGCCCCGGTGCAGCTGCCGGCGGAAGGGCCATGCTGTCACTCGGGCCTTTGTTCCCCGGGGCTGCGCTGGAGCTGACGTCCAGCTTCCCCGGTTCGGTGGATGAATCCCCGGCTCGGTCTCCGGTACGCCCTGGTACAGGCCGAGAGAGAGTCAAGAAAAAACGCGATTTAGCAGCTGGTGTCTGGGGATTGGCCTCTTTCCCAAGATTCTTTCCGTTGGCACCCGCGACAGCGCTGGTCTCCACTGTCCCGGGGGAAGAAGTGGCCACACTGTCTTCCTGGACACTTATGCCCAAATCGACTGTAAACACAAACATAAACAGCGGTTATTCAGCCACTCGAGGAAGCGCAAGGACAGATAATGGACTACAAACGTCTTATACACAAAGGCCACCGTGCACACTGGGACTCTGTTGTGCCCCGTCACCCGGCGCAGCAGAAGCAGCTAGATGCCCTCGGACCCTGCTCTTCTCGGGAGAGAGGAACGGAGTCCGTGAGGAGGAAGCTCATGGCTGGAAAGTACACGCCAGAAGCTGCACCCCTGAGGCCGAGTCAGTCACCTTTCAGCAACTTCACAGGAACCGTAGGAGGCAGGCTGTCATGGTTTCGATGGGGAGGCAGGAGCGGTTAGGAGCCTGGGCTCCACACCTACAAGAGGCTGCTCAGCCCTGGGACTCCCGGCATTTGGGTCGGGCCCTTCTTTGTTAGGGGGCCCGTCTCGTGCACTGTAGGGTGTTTAGCTGCATCCCTGGCCTCAACCCACCAGATGCCAGCAGCATCCCCAGTTGCGACAACCAAAAGTATCTCCAGACATTGCCAAGTGTCCCCTGACGGGGGTGTGTGTGGAAAAAAAGACTCACATTTGAAAACCACTGAGCTCGATGTCTATTAGAATCCAGGTTATTTACCTTTCCCATGTCTCAACTGTCTGGTAAAGGGGGGCACTTTGCTATGAAGATGACATGAGCTAATATTCTTAGAGCACACAGAACAGTGCCTGGAATACTCCATAAATGTAAGTGCCCCATAAATGTCACGAACGTCAGCTAATCTCATGACTCATGAGTGAGAAAATGGACAGCCAGGGAGGTCATGGCTAGGAATCTGTTGAGAGTACTAAAAGATTTTAAAATCAAAGACTCATGAAGTTTCTACGTTGAAGGCTGGAAGAGCAGACGTCCACACAGGATGTCAGATCAGACCTCAGGCCCGTGTGGAACCAGACATGTGGGGTTAGCTGTCCAAGACGGCGCCCCTGCAAGGAGGACACTGTGCCAGCCTTGGTCTGTTTCGCTTTGACCTCTGCCTTCTTCTCTAGACCCTTTTACAAAGCAGTGCCATGTTTAGGAAAAAAAGATATGCCACACATTTTGGAACCACAGTTAAGATCAAGATTTTCTCCTGCTAGGTTTTATGACCTTGGATAGGTCACTAAAAATTTTGGAATTTCCTCATTTGAAAAATGGGAATGATAGTCACTCCCGTGCAGCATTGTTGTGACGTTTAAAAGAGAAAACTCTTGCGAAGGACCTGGCCCACTGCCTTTCCCAGGGTAGGCCTTGAGAGTCCACAGGACAGTGGTTCTTTCTAAGGTTTCTGCCACGCCTTTGTCCACGCTGCATCGGCTTCAGGCACCTGTGGGCAGCCGCTCCTTAATATCTGGTTGCGGGAAGGCAGAGGAAGAGAGGGGAAGACAGAGGTCTCCTTTGGTCTGCTCACATGGCTCATTAACGTGGAGCGAGGAATGCACACACACACAAATAGACACGCATACACACACAAATACACACAAATGTACACACACATGTACACATACAAATACACACACAAATATACACACATAAATACACATACATACACACACAAGTACACACACACACGTACACACATGCAAATATACACACACAAATACACACACATACACGCACACACACATCCATTGGTTAGTAGTTGTTTTTGCCAGACTCTAGTATCTCCCAGTGTCTAGAGTTAGGAACAAACATGGAGAGAGAGAGAGCGCGCGGGAGAGAGAGAGGGAGAGAGAGGGAGGGAGGGAGCTGGGTTCTTGTGCAGAACCCTGAGGAGCAGAGAGGAACCGGGGAGCAGCAGCAAGCACCAGGGTTTCCGTGGACGCTGGGACCTCAGGGCATCACGCTGGGGACGCTGACGCTGACGACAGCTTGCAGCTCTTAGCGTCCCTCTGTGGCCCAGGAGCTCACAGTCAGGTCAGCGCTAATCTCAGGGAAGGCT